ATTTTTGACCACTCTATGACTTGGAAAGTACCGCTAGGAACTTGATGAACATTTGAGATAAGGTTACTACTACGACAAAGACAAAAACACGTTACAGCCTTTGAAATTTTTTTGACAGGAATTTAATTAATTACGAAGTTCCGACGGGTCAAATCATGCGTACCGCCTTCTCGCTGGACTCTGAGACCCTATTTTTACCTGCTTTTCCCTTGATAAACAAAACATATACCAGATGTAAGCAACATTAAAAACGTAAGTTAAGATAAACCTGAAGATATGCGTTTTCATTTTCTTATTTCATAGTATTAGTGAACTTATATCCATCTATGTATAATATCATTTTCACAAATTGTATTCGGATGTATTCTTAGGATTAAAAAAATCAGGATAGGTCCCATTCACATGATGCGTATATTTCAGCGGAGCTGGTGGAGCGGGGGTGTAACGCTCCGCATAATCGGATAGACGAGTGATATCAATCACTTCAGGAGCGGCAATGTATTTATGGTTTTATTGCTTTCAAGGTGTGTATGTATTTTGTTTATCAACGCAAAAACAAGTAAGGGTCGTGGGACCCTGACGAGGCGAGGACAGTCAGGAGGCACTCGGCGTCGAGCGAAAAGGTGGCACGCATAGTTCGACCAGTCGAAGCTTAAAAAGTTGGGGGTTTGGGGTTCTAGGGGTTGGGGAAGGGTGTATCTCACTTTTTGCGCGGTAATATATTTACACGCTTTTAACCTCGGTCATATATATTTCACGCATAGATTTCCTGGTATATTTGCCCTTAAGCCGAAGGTGATCTTGTCGCAAGAGTCTGGGAACTGAAGACTAACTGTTTGGACCTATTTGGCTCACTTGATTCATTGAATGCCATTGTTATCGCCTTTCTAAGAGGGTCTCTCTCATGCCGAACATAATCTTTTTTAAACTGGAACATAATCTTTTTTGAGCTGATGGCAGCGTTGCGTGGGAAGAGTAAAATCAACATACTTGAGGCCATTTTACTAGGTAAAGATTTACTAAATTATTGGTCAACAGAGTAAAGAGGTTAGAGGGTTAAAACTATTTCGTTGTAAACTTTAAACTTTTTTACACAAGCTCTAACAATGAGCAAGATTTGTTGTGCCAAATCTTGTCGGCAAGTTTAACTTCTCAATCTTCAGTTTTTGATAAAACTTGAAAAGTGATTGACTCAGAAGTAACCTATAAAAAGAATGAGTGATGTAAATGAGATATTACTGCTATCAATATCTGCTGTTGCAAGAGCTTGCCTAGCTTGTTTTTGTTGGCAGCACAAGTTCACCTGACAACCTAAAATGGATTTGTGAATATAATTAATGGTACAATGACGAGGATGTAGTCTACCAAAACACAACACACATATTTAGCGTGACTATTAATGCACACATAATGCGAATATGCAAATTTAACCCATTTCCACCAAATAGTTATGGCCACAACAGAAGTAGCCTCACGTCTATATTTATATCAACGGAACTTCATGGTGATTATGCTAATTTTGTTTCCATTTTATTCAAAGCACGCACAATAATTATTATCAAAGAGTCTAAAAATAAAGGTGAGGTAATACCTGATGCACGTCGCTATGTAATTTAAGGTATCATTTGGTTTATATGGGGACGGAGTGATTTATTATATTTTGATTTAAAATGTATTTATTGTTATTGGTTTCAAGTTATTCACATGTGCTACTTGTTTTGCTAATTTTCAAGGGAAAAACAGGTAAAAAAAGGATCGTGAAACCCTTCGAGGCGTCGACGGGGAGGGCAGCGGAGTAGGTACGCTCATTTATTAATTAATGAATTTTATCAGCTTATAACAAATGTCATAATCTTATTAACCGTTTCATTATCTAAAACAAAGTAAATATTGAAACAAGCTAGATTAATTAACTCAGTTGTCAGTCCTTCCTATGGACTTCCCATTACTCGACAGCATATGGGTAGTGTAATGCCAAATACAAGTGATTTCAGTATTTATATGAATCATCAGTATGTATATATCAAATAACATCACATCAGCAATTGCGTTAAAGTAAATATGTTATATCTTCACAAAAAACACATTTTTCACATATCTTCTCTGCTTTAACAAATATTTACCACAGATAACGATGATTTCACTTATGTTATTTGTTGCCGCGTAAAATAATGCCATATAGATAGTATATAGGGTGTTCCGGACTTAAATATATCTGAAAATAAAAAAGCTCTAAAAACAGCTTTTACACGCCAAGTCTTTAATATCAAATATCTTAGGCACTATTGAGCCGATTTTGTTGAGTAACGTAAGACCAGACGGACGGTTTTAAAAGTCAGGGCCGGGCTCGATTTTTTTAACTTTTTTGTTCTTCAAAATTAATACCTTATAAGCCAGACAATGAAATATTTATCTATATACAAAAAAGCTAATGAATGCTGTTAATTGCGCCTGTTGTGGCTTTTTAGTTAATTTTTTTAATTTATTCATATTTTTTTTCAGTTTGTGACCCAAAATAAAATTTGACAAACTACCGACTTGATGACATCAAAATGTTACAAATTAAAGCTTAAAATTGAACTGAAGTTATTTTGTTATTAAGAAAATCCAGGACCAAATTCAGTTTTTTCATCTCTCTTGATTTTATTGAGTTATGCACCCAACTTACTTTTTTCTTAACGATTTGATTTTTCCAACTAATATTCTGGTGGTGAGAACACTTAAACGTAACTTTGCTCACAATCCTGAGTCTGGATCTATATACTGGGTTTTTCTACATTTTTGTCCCAATTTTGAATTGGTTTGGAGAGTCAAATTCAGTGAATTTGCAAACTGAATGCCGTATCTCTCTAAAGCACTAATGTTCGTGTACAGCACCAGTTGGTAGAACTGAATCATTAAAAATTTGCCGAAAATACTAAATATAGTGCGTAACATTAACTTCTTCTTTTATCTATATTATGTATTTCTCATTTTATCGCCAAATAATGATAAACTCAAGGTATAATTTACAGGGCGTTGCATTTAATAAAATACAAGGGAATAATAAAAAACCTGAACTCGACCCTGGAATTTTTAGTTCCCAAAACAAACATCTTTAGTTGAATTTAAAGCATTAATTTGTAAAATTACGCTGAAACCAAAGTGATAACCTTTGAAATTGTGAGTTATGTGACCTAGTCAAACATTTCAATATTCAGCTCAACAGGTGTTGAAAAAACAGGAAAATATCGAGTCTGGCCCTGCGTTTTTAGCCGTGTTTATGTTAACTAGGCAACTTTGTTATCGTGCAAAATTACAATTAAATCGGTTCAATAGTCCCTGATATTAAGGATTGGGCGCGTTTAGTAAAAAAATGCATTTATAGCTTTCTTATTTTCAGCTGAAAAGGTCAATACCGCCCACCATTTCAGTATGTCCATTTAAGTACGGAACACCCTGTACAATTTTCGTATTTTACGTTGCACTCAAGTGAATGGACAAAATAAATTTTGCGTCAAGCTTTCAACACATTGAATCAGAAAAATATATTTTTTATCTGTGTGATACGCTATTTATATCCGGATGCAACAAAGCACCATAGATTAGATTTTGTTTATGGTGTGTTTTTCTGTAAAAGCTTGTATCAATAATCAGCACGATTTTTTCCGACAAGTACACTAAGTAAGAATGTTAAAATGATAACGCTTGACAATACAAACTAAATCAACTACGTTCATGCTTTTCTCTAGCTGCTATAGATGTTTGTTTAAATGAAACTACGTGTTTAAACCGTAATCCGCGGATATAAAAAAGATACCCACATATGTGAAAGCTCACGAAGATCGAGTCCGACATATTGGACTTGTTTTTCATGTTATGCGTTGACTTGTACAACACAAGTAATTTGTCTGCTCAGAGGAATTCTTACATAGCATACGAATGTAAAATTTTCATTCCGCTACAAGCCAGAGATGCCGAGAGCTTACACTGATTCAAAGACAAAAGATGTCAGTGACGTAAAGATTATAGTTCAGTAACTGCTTAGGGATTCTATGCTAGGTTTATGTTCAGAATCAACTTCTAAAATTTGGAAGTTGCCCTCAGCTACTTCTTTTATAATGATGCATCCGAGTAAGCAAAACCGCGACTGCTATAAAGAGCTTAAAACACCTTGTCAAGATTAGTAGATCTGGGAAAACCCTTCCTAGGCTCGTTGTTCTACAATATCAACATCCTAAGGATATAGGAACTGTCTGTTAGAGGAGTGTCATCGATAAGTCTAATAGCCCTCCTCTGAACATCACCGAGAATGGAACGTGTAGTCGGAGCGGCAGCACCCCAAATATGTAAGCAGTAGAAAAAACTGAGTCTTATCTGGCGTTGTACCTACAGAGTGAGGAGGTTATGTGGAGTAAAGCTATTGAGAATTGGAATAGGTTTTGGAATTGAAACTTGTGTACATTCCTATTTTTACTTTCACATCATCGTACAACTGTTTTCCGTTATAACGTAATTAAGCGCTCCTTTCAATATTCAAACGTATTTGAAGACTGTATATTGTATGAGTCAAGAAGGTTGTGGAACCCCAGCTTTGAACTTATTGCGAATCCCTATGGAGAACCAGTTATCAAGCACAAATGATGCAAAAAAATCAAACGACTGATCCTCAGGAACACCAATTCCAAATCACTGATGACAGATGACCGACTGACTGATATGTTGCGACATGTAGATCTAGCTGAAAGCGACATCAGGAGTGACAAGGAAGCAGTTCAAACCTTGCAGTATTAATTTGGATTTACATTCATCAAGGGGAATACGAGTGCCCTTATTGTACCCTGTGGAAACAGTATCGAAATACGCATAACGTAGCTTGTTGCTAACTGACATTTCCACAAAATGGTACAGTGTTAAAATCATATAAATCGAGGACAATACGAGTCCCAGTAATGAACCTTGTGATACTCTGTATGAAAACAACTACTACTAAACAACCATTTCATACTAATTAAACTCACCAATTCCAGGAATTTGATGATAGACAGCCTGCTGACCGACATTTTGCGAAATTGTTTAAGAACAAAAAGGGAGTGGATCCGGCTAGCAGAAGCACTTGTTTACAGTACTTTTCGGTATCGATTTCCAAGCTTCGGACGCGTTCCCGCCTTCGAGAAAACTGGAACCGGAGCGGGTCGTCGGTGCTTGAAACGGTTGAGAGGCGCAGCGTCGAAACGTCGCGGCGACACGCTGGCGCGGTGGTAGGGTGAGACTCTACTCGTTTGTTCGTTGTTGTGGGGCCTTCCGATGAAATAAGTACAGGAGTGGACTTGAGTTATAGGCGAATGACAAACGACCAGTATTTATTGTTTGTTATGCCAATATATTCTTACAATGAGAAAATGTGGTCAATTAAACAGTTGTTCTGGGAATTTTCATTAAATGTACTATTTTTTTTTATTATTCCAAGTAACTGGTTTATTCGGTTTAATTAAACTGAATGTTCTGGGACCAGTTTAATTGTGAGTAATATATATTAAATTATTTGATTGAAAAAAGCAAACCATGTACCTGTTTTATTAAGCTGTATAATTAGTTTAGGTAATTTAGTATTATTGCTCCGATTAAAACACTCTATATAGGGGAGTCACTGCTGACGTGACGGAATGGCAAGAATTTTGAAATATTATTTAGGACAATGAAATGGATTTATATCAAACTATCAAACATTTGCTTCGTAGGCTTGATGTGTTTTTCTTTTATATTGTATGTATAGGATTTGGAGCCTGCTCCCATTGATGCAGACTTTGTAGTGTTTGAAAATATACTAGTTTGTTCAAACTGATGTTGAATTTGTTAATACATGCAAATACGTTGATGTGGGTGACTACAATATTGTTTTACTATTAGAAGTAAAAGTATAATTGTTGTACCAATGATCAAGTTGCCTTATTCAGTTTCAGGAATTTCTCTCCCTACTTTCTGAATTTAACAAGTAAAAACTTACCTATATAAAAGTGGCACCGTTTGTCAGATATTGATTTTTTCTTAAATTTTAAAAAAACGAACCTTTTCATCTGTGGTCTTTAGCTGCATGTAGAAATAAGGTTATACTTTGTGGATTTTTTCTATAAAATATGTCTAGATAGTTGCTTTATCAAATACAAATGCAATGTAGTTAAAAGATATTAAGGAACCATGTTAAAATGAGGACTGTTTTGGGATTTATAACCTTCTGATATTGTTTCCTCAACAAACAAATTGAACAAATTCAATAAATATAACTAAATTGTTTTTCTTGGAGAAGGTAAACTCATTTTAATAGTTGATTAGAATTAGAATTCATTTAAAAATTGGTGTACTCAATCTAAGTAAACGGTTTAAAAAAATAATTAAACGATTGCGTTTTGATTTAAGTGAACTAGTTTCATAAATTCAAGTAAACTGTTTTAGAAATAAGTATTTTATTGAACTAGTTAAACTTGTTAGCTGAGAGATAGTTAAATTAAGTTCTTTGAATGACCTAATTAAAATTTTAACTGGTTTAGTTCTTCTTTTCATCTTTTTTCTTAGGGTAGGTACGTAATAATAACTGACGTCCCGACTACACAGTCAATAAATATCACATTCCATGATAAATAATGATGGATCACAGTAAATAATGATCATGTGACGTTTGCCATACAGAATTTTTTATATAATTTCGTCACTTGACGTAATATTTGAAAGTTCATTTGTCAAGAAGAGTCACACTTATTGGATCTATTGTTTATGACCTTTGTGCTTGTAGAGATTAAGCTTACAAGCCTGCATCATGGGCACCCGCAGGAATGTTTCTTAGAGAGGGGCCGATCATTGGCAAGAGATAACTTTTTGTGAATGCTAAAAATCTTCGAAATTGTACACAAAATTATGCTAAATATGCAAATTTTAAGGTTCAATCGGCAGGGTTCGTCATGATGCTTCAGCTATCAGTGTGATTTCACATCTGCTTCAGAAATGACATTATTGGAGGTCTAAGCTGTAAGTTGTATACTGTACCTGGAAGGAAATGGCTTTGCATATGTGCAAAATGAAGATTTGTGTGCTAATAATCTGTGTTGTTGATAATTCCATCAGTTTCTTGACTCAAATACACTTAATTGAGATGAATACAAAGCTAGAGATTAGTTGCGCATCCACAAATGAGAGAGATAAGAAAATAAAATCCCTGGTTGGTGAAGTATATTACAGCTAACAGGTGAGAAAATATGCTAAAGGCAGGAATATTTATGAAACGTGAAAACGTTATTACATTTTACATTATTTTTATTTCCAGTGATTTAAATTTTATAGAAATCTATTTTCGATGTCAAGTAGAAAATATAAATCAGCGGTTAGATATGAGGAAATGTTTTCTGTGTGATGCGTTATTACTAATTTTTCTGTGATGTGGCCTAAAGGAAAAAAAACTGGGGAAAATCGTTATATATAACTTTTAACATAACCTCTGTTAAGAAAGAACAACCCAAATAACCCGTCTGGTACGACTAACAGATATACTTGATGGGCAGCATATTCAGTAATAATTTTCTCACAGAGCAAATATCACTGTTTTTATGCACATGCAGAACAATACACACAATCATCAACAGGGGATCTGCATACTCTGCTACTCAACCAAATTTTCTTTCTGTCACATTTTCTCAAAGATATGCTCTACAGACTCTCTCTCGGCATTCTCTAATCTAACAAAGGATGCTGGGAAACTGACATCATGGTCATTGAGCGTGTCGTTGAGTCATCCCTCCATTGATGACGCTTTCTGGCGACGCCGATAGCGCTCATAGCGAGCAAACGCGGAATAAGCTATTTACACACTAGGAACAAGTTTACATTTTGTTGGGTTTTTTACATTATACAGGTTTTTTTAAGTAATAACCTTGTGAATTGTCTGCGGGCGCTCATATCTTTTCGCAAAATATAGTATTTGTGACTGTATGTATAAAGGTTTTTAACTCATACACAAGAGGAAAGCACAAAGGCTACGGCTCGATCTGGAATCAACATTAATTCGTAAATTTATAACTATCAAAGTTAGAGTATTTTTATCCTTACAAATAATTTTTTTTATATTATCAAAATTGTCGAATAAAGTACCCCGCACAAAACATATAGAAAATGGGACCCAGTTGATTTGTCTAAAAGTTTAGTATGATATATATTTCGGTTTCCTGAACAAAAGTTCTCATGGGATCAAAGCAATTCTATTATTAGTTTCTGAGAAATAGGAGGATGCCGATTTGCAAAAAGATCTATTGCACATACAAGATAGATTTTTAAGTTCCTCGAGAATACCATTCAAATGCAGCATGTACTGAAATTCAGGAGATCTTTATAAAATAGCTGGTCCTCTTTTATTAATAGTTACCATCCTATAAATATTATATATAGGAGGTGTTAATGCTGCACTTCAGTTATTAGCAATTGCGTAAGTGCCAAACGTCGGTCGCATGTAAATCTAGCACCCAAACCCAAGGCGCATGTGTTTTTTTATATGCTGTCCACAAGACTAGATTTCGTTATCCGTCGAAAAAGTTGACCTAAGCTGATCGATATACCGGAAGCAGACCACAACAAAGAAACCCAATAAATTACAATACCGTGAAGCTCACATTAGTGAGCTTTTTCATTATCTTTCGCCTTCAAAATCACCATGATTTTGAATTAATCTTGTAAAGGTCATAATCAAAGACAATTAAGCAACCACGACCTTTCAATGTCTTTATAAAGCGAATTGTGCTCTTGAACGATTTTTTTTAATTCTCTTACGATTGGTACCAGATCCATTTCAGTATCAACGTATAAGGTTGCCCTTAAATCGACCTTGTAAGGATCATGGCCAAGGTAAACATGACAATTCCCAACATCCCTTCTAAACCATTTAAATTAACTGACACGTCCACCATTTTTGCAACTTGTGCCAACTCCTCCATCTTTTCGTCAAAAAGTAATCATAGGATTTTCTTTGGTCCGATAACTTTTGTCCAGGAAACCGAGAAATATATCATACTGAATTTATAGACACATGGACTGGTTCTCTATATGATATGTGAGGGGGTGGGCGGGATACGTGGTTACGTTCATCCTCTTTGCTTTCCCCTCCCTTCTTTCTTTGTCTTCTTCATTTCCTTCCTCAATATTGTCAGTTTTTGAGTTATCAGACTTAACAGACTTACGAACTGATACCTGTATGTTATAGTAGTGTTGTATTTGAAAACCGGCAGGGTTATTACTTAAAAATATTTTTCCCGCTGTCAAAAAATAACATGCTTTTATTTGAAAGACGAGCTTCATTAGCGTTTAAATATTTCCAATCGGAAAAATCATTTTTAAATTTTGAGTTGTGAATAGCTAAAAAAAGCTTGTTTTTAAAAATGTATTTTTTTATTTCATTTTGTTTTACCTTGTAGTATTTATGATGTCGAATATTTAATTTGGTAATTTTTGTATAACTATAATATATGTATTGATAAGACTCCATAAAGCTTCTTACCTTATTTGTACGAGTATTATAAACTGCCGATAGATATGAATCATATAATGATAAATCGATATTTTGCGGCGATCGCCGTATTGAATTTAGAATAACGTTATCTGCTTATCGTGTTTCTCTCATTAAGCTCTTTCATTTGATACCGTTATCGTAGCGATGATAATGGCAGCCGCCATATTAGATCTAGAATGACGATACTTTGTTTATTAAGTTTATAAATCGCTATTTTGCGGTGACCACGCGTTGCTTGTTATGTTGATCTCACAAAGCCCTTTAATTTGATACCCATGTCGTGAGAGTGACTATAAATTCTCATTCTCATTCCGCGGCGGATGTCGCATTTGATTTTGTGTGATGACACTTATCGCGTTTCTCTCATCAAGGCCTTTTATTTGTTGTCATAGTGGTGACCGTAAAATATATAAATCGCCTTTTTTCGGTAGCCGCCATGTTGTTTTTAAAATCAAGTCACTTTGCCTATTGTTTTTCTCTCATCAAGCCCTTTTATTTGATACCCATATCCTAGGGGAGACTTTAAAAAATGTAAACCGGCATTTTGTGGCAATCGCCTTAATGCATGATATGGCATGAGGTCACTTTGCTTATTGTGTTTCTCCCATCAACCCCTTTCATTTGATACCCATATCATAGGGGCTCTTATGGAAATGACGGATCGCAATTTTGTAGCATCCGCCATATTGGATCCAAAATGGCGGCGGTCAATTCATTTTGTTTTGTCACTCAAACCAAACGTATGTACAAAATTTCAGCTCAATTGCTTAAGGTTAAATGGTTAAATGCGTTTCCAAGATTTGTCCCACACATACATATCTACTAATAACACGCAATGAGGTCCAGTTGAATAAAAGCTTGTAAAAAGTAATCCAAGCATACGACTATGTGGTTTCATTTAGCAGCCAGACAATTGTGGAGTCCTACCAGCAAACCTCAAGAAATACAATTTGTGGTCCAAAACTTAAATTCTACAACAGCCAGACAATTTGGGACTCCGAATTCGATTATCAGCATAAACAAATTGTGAAATACTGCAAGACTGAATTTGAGGCATAATATGGACCGCTTTGGACCCCCGTAAGCCCTACAACCATGCTAACATTGGGATCGGAATTTATGCACCAGATTTACCCAGAAAAACAGTCTCCATCAGAATCACAGATAGGAAGGTGTTTTTGGAAATTTTCTCTTAGGAAACGTTGGTAGCTGGAATGGCCAAGCTTTCCTAACACTGACCTCAATATTTTGCCTGGGTTGATGATCTTTGGCATAAATATTATTTTGGTTGGCCTAGAATTATAAATCCAGTCCTGTTTCTTACCGCTTTTGGTTTAAGTCCATGACACATTTATGACATCATCGTCCAATAAGTTGACCTACGTTACAAACACGGCGAACCAGCAGAAGGTTGAACTACAACCTAGCGGCAACCTGGCTTGCTGTTATTATTTTTTTATATTCTCGATCGCAATCCAGATATACGGCAGCATCAAAATGTTTATGACATAATATATTTTGTGAGCTAGGTGCTTAAAAATAGATTTTATGCCAGTGAGTTATAGGGCGTGTGGGTTTCGTGGGAATATCATACGCCTGAGGTTCTGTCTAGTTTTCTTGGAAGGCTGGCAGAGTGAATTGAGTAATCATATCAAATTATGCAATTATATACGGGGTGTTTCAAATTCGATTCCCGTCAGTGGTATTTGCGGAAATGGTAAGAGATACGAAGTCGGTTAAATGAGCAAAACTGCGTATTTAGGTTAGAAAATGGCACATAGAATCTGAGTATTTCCGGAGATAAAAGATAGTGACCGAATTTTTCCTAAATAGCTATTGTTTTTTGCTGACATTGTTTGAGTTGTAATTTCAAAATAAAAAGTACGTTATCATTGCCACTTTTTTCTCTACAAGATGGCATAACTTTTAAATTTCAATATGATGCTTCGTCTCTTGCCCTCCATTATAAACTTTGTGAACGTCATATTGGATTTTTGCACACGTGAATAGAATGAAAAATTGTAACTACAAAAATGTATATTATGTCAAACGTCATTATCAAACCTAATATATCTTGATAAAACCAATATTTTCATAGTTGGCTTTGAAAACGACAGTTTATCACACGTTTATGAGATTCAATCAACACTGAAAAGACGTAGTCAATTAAGCAAATGTTCTGGAAAATTCTCATTACCCAAAATATTTTTTTTAATTACTCCACGTATCTATACTATTCGGTTTAATTAAACTGATATTCTTCGAATGGGTTTAATTGAAAATAAGACACTAATAAACTAATTTGCTTGAAAATAGCAAACCATGTAGCTGCATTATTAAACTGTTTGATTAGTTTATATAGAAAAGCTACATTTAAAACAAATAACCATTTTAATAAAAACAGGTAAACCGTTTATTTGAATCGCGGACTCGGCAGGACTCGGTATTTCAGTCGTGAGTGTTCGGGAGTATGCAACAGACGCAGTGCCGATAATGCGCTTCGAACTCAGTTTCCTTTGTTATTTTCTCGAGGAGCTTCATTCGAATGTTGCCGATGTTGGAGTAGTAGCTGTAAAGTGAATCAATTACCATGGATAGAATATTTCTCGCTCCAAATGAAACACTGTGAATAGGGCAGTCACTGCTGACGTAACGGAAATGGAAAAACGATGAAATTTTATTTTTGCAGCTATATTTAGGTCAATGAAGGGCATGTATACCAAACATATGCTTAACATAGGCTTGGTGTGTTTTTCTTTTATACTGTATAATGTCTATACAGGGTATAGAAGATAAGGATCCTATGCATGGGGATCTCAATACCTGAGGCAGATACAGCTTAGGTTAAATTAGGATGTTCTTTGCACATGCCGTTGAGAAACTTTTAAAAATTTCATGGCTTGCTGAGATATTTGGGAGAACTAACATTTGGTTAAATCGTTTTTACGAAATGTCAAATAATTAATGGAACTTTTTCGGCTTTACTGTCTAGGAAACTTTTCATGGAAGCAGGGAAGCCCAAGACGGCGAATTTACGAAAAACTGAGAGAAATTGATCTGAATTCCGACACTGGAAGAAAGTCGCGTCTGGTAGAGCAGAATGGGTCACTCCACAAAATTCGATAGTATAGTTTAATTAAGTATTGAGCTGTAATTTATGGTAACTAGTTGGTGTTCAAATAAATTACTTTATAAAAAAAAATCACATAAATATTAGAACCAAAGAAAAAATTGCAGAGGTTTAACATCACATAATCTAGGTAGCCAAATGTTTCGGTCCGAAACGAGAAATTAGCTGCTCGCGGAAATGATTGCGCAGTACAGGCAAGATCTTGTTGAAACCAAATCATGCGCTTAACATATAATATAATAATGTGTCGCCATGGTGTGATAACAGTCATCAAACATCCCTCGAAATTTTCGGTCGCATCATCCGAAGTTGGAATTCCAGAAAGGACCACGACGATTGCAGTCGCAACCTACATTTGGAATTATCAAAATATGATTTTCAAGGGCTAAACGCGAATAATAATTACAGGACAGGAGGTCGTTGATATACAGGGTGCGGCAGGGAGGACGGACGTTTTTGGGATGGGTAGTACCTACTCTCCGCCCCCGTCTACGAGAGAGGTGGGGAGGGTGCCGTTTGACCCGTGAGATCCAAGCATTATTTTACCAGTTGTCGTTATGGAGCCTTGGACGGTGGAGCACCGCGTTTTCGCCTATGATTGTTTCGTCCGAAATAATGAGACAGTCATCGTCGTACAGCGTGACTTTCGTCGCCACTTCAATGTTCATCGGAATAGAGCTGTTCCCTCTCGAAACACCATCCTTTGTTGGGTTGAATCACTTCGCAGGCATGGTGAACTGATCAACAGAAGACTAAGAGGAGCGCCGCGAACAGTTCGAACTCCTGAAAATGTTGAACGCGTTCGACAGGTCTTTCTTCGCAGTCCGACTCGATCTGCCCGGAAACATGCTGCTGCACTTCGCCTTAGTGATCGTTCGGTAAGGCGAAATTTGCATATGGATCTCCGCTTTGACCCCTACAAATTGGCCATTGTGCAACAGTTACAGCCCGGAGATTATGCACAACGAATGAACTTCGCACGTGAGATGGAAGCACTGATCGATCAAAATGAGAACCTCATTTTGTTTATGAGTGAAGAAGCCCACTTTCACCTAAACAGCATGGTTAACCAGCAGAATTGTCGTTATTGGGCTAATGAAAATCCGTAACAGTTACACGGAAGACCGCTGCACAGCCCAAAAGTAACGGTTTGGTCCGCTGTATCGCAAACTTGCATCATTGGCCCGTACTTCTTCGAAGACGGTACTGGTCGTGATGTTACCGTGAATTCAAAGCGCTACGTCGACATGATCACCAACTTCTTTCTCCCTGAATTACCACGGCGACATGTTCCAATCCGACGTGCGTGGTTCCAGCAGGATGGGGCGACCGCCCACACAGCCCGAGCATCCATGGACGTTATTCGCCCTCTCTTCCCTGGTCGCCTTATTTCCAGGTTTGGCGATGTTCATCGGCCTCCTCGGTCCCCAGATTTATCCATATGCGATTTTTTCTTACGAGGACACCTCAAGGCTAGAGTATACGCGAGCAAGCCCCGAAATCTGGACGAATTGAAGGGCGAAATTCGCGTGGAAGTCGCCCAAGTTGAGAGAGCAATGTTGGAGAGAGTCTACGCGAACTTCCAAGAACGCCTCCAGCACTGCATCAACGATTTCGGCCACCACATGCCTGATGTGATTTTCCACACTTGACTGTCTCAAATGCTATTTCCTTTTGAACCTGATTCCATCAATAAATTTGTTTTCGAGAAAAAATTAACTATTTTATGATTTTTTTAAAACCGTCCATCCTCTCTGCCGCACCCTGTATAAGAGGAACAGTGTCGGAGCCAAGACCGATCCCTGGGGAACACCCGCGTCGATGTTGTGGGATGAAGAGGAGAACGCATCAATTACGACGGATATCTTGCGGCCAGAGATAAAGTCACCTACCCATCTACAAAGCTTTTCCAGGAGGCCATACGATGGAAGTTTGCAAAAGAGGGCAGCGTGCCACAGCTGATCGAATGCTTTCGTTATATCAAGAGCAACGACATCGATAATAAAAAAGAATCGATAAAGTTTATTGTCATCACACTTTTCATTTATAAAAACTTGTAAATGTAACACCCCTTACTTATTATCGACAAAATATTGATATTCCATCGAAATAAAAATTTAATAAAATACCCCATTTTATTGTCATTTTGTCTTTACGACATTTTCATTTTATCTGTTACAACGTACTTAAATAATTAATATTGATAGCAACATCTACCCACTACCATGTTACAAAAATCCTAGTTCATTTTATTTTCGACATAAGTCTTTTTCATCTCAAACAAAAACAAATTAATTCTGGTTGCCATTCAATCACCTAGTCGTGTATTGACGTCTTCCCAAAATACTGAAAGTTATCGCGTTACACGTTACGCCATACCTAGGGTTTACAAAACATTATACAGGATGAAACAATAGCAATACTTCTTTGTCAAAAACGAGGTACAAGAGTAAGACGAAAAGTTCATATAAGAATTGGTGTAAAAATGCTTCTTCGCCGAGATACAGATTGTTGAAGTTACTATTTGGCAATCAAAATGATAAAGTTGAAATGGATATATTTGCTTTCTGTCTCTGTAACCACGACCAACAGCAGACAGCGCTGTTTCGTGCTCACTAGCAACTCATTAGTGCGCTATAGGTTTAGTAGTCCTGGGGAGATATGAACGGCAGGGGTGTTACATACCTTGAAGAGTGATACCATCTTGTATTATGTAGGTTTATTGTGACATTATGAAGGTTCTCCTACAAGATGTCAACTAGAAACTAGCTGTTCATGTTCACTTGTAGCAGGCGCGGAATGTACTACTTTTATACTACTTATACGAAACAGCGCTGTCTGTGGTTGGTCGTGGTTACATAAACGGAAAACAAGAATGTTCATTTCAATAGTGTATATTTCCTGGTACCTAGATTGACATCTAAATATAAGGTTTCCTTTTACTGCAAGAGGGCGCAGACAAATCTTCTATCTAAAGCACCAATAAACTTTATGTGCAATAATGCGAATAGGATTGTGAGTTTTTGTGATATCTTCTGTTGTGGATTTCAGGAATTACGAAGTGCTATACGTTCACATCTTTGACTTTTTTACGCCTTTCTCTAGGGGTTTTCATTTGTTGTATATATATATGTATTGTATGTATGTATTTATGTGTATATATGTATACCTGTATATGTGTATACTCATATATGTGTGTATGTGTATATGGATATTTGTGTATATACCAGTATATTCTGGTTTCCTAATATCTATTGATCATATTTATAGTTTCTTTTTCTCTACTTAAAGCGCCTTTCTATTTTCTGTGTGTTTTTTTTTTATTTTTGTTTCACTTTATGACACACAGACTGTGTAAATTAAACCATTGTATTATGTATTGCTCTCTAAATGGTATCTGTACTGTTGGGCAATAAATGCTTTATTATTATTATTATTACTTTATTATTATTTATATATATATATTATATAGGAAGCCATTGTTGGTCTGCCCTGTCAGTACTTGGTATTCCGGCTGCTAAATAGAGTCAGACACCGAAAAGCTAACGAATTTTTGCATCTTCATCCGCATGAAGCAACTTTTTGTGAAAGTGTATCAGCAAATCCTAGAAACCCCCATACCACAGAAAGTCATTTCTCAGTTGAGGTTAAGCCCACATAATAGACTTAAATCCGTTCTGCTTTGAAAATATGATAATTTCAGTGCAGAGTGAACATTTTATGTGGCATATTTGGATCGTCAAATATCCATGTTTCATTTCAAATTACTTTTTGTGTTGTATTTGGATGTACTTTCCGTTTTTTTATGTCGTCCTATATGTATTTATAATTTCGCAGGAACCGCAGATCGATGGAAAAGCGATGGATTTGATTATCGCGAGAAATAATTATTTCTGGTACATTTTTCCGGTAAGAGTGTCCATATAGTATCTTAAATCCTATTTACTCAAGCAATAAAGCTTACATTAAAGACTGATCTATTTTTGACCCTTTTACTTTCTACGTCACTAGGCGAGGAAGTGTCGTAATCACGAAAAATTTCGAAAATGTTTTCTGGATGTTATTAGACTCATCACGAAAAACCAGGTTACACATTTCCGTCGGACTGACTGTCTGTCTGTCCGGTGATCCTTGGCCCGCTCGGATTTTGAGGAAATTTTGACACAAGGTTACTACTATGCCAAGAACTTTTGACGTTATAACGATATAAGCAAACATCTCTCAAACATCGTTTTTTGATGCTTCAAAAGGGTACTGATTACTTCTTTGAAAAATATTAGGGGCTAGAAATTGGAGGGACGCGGTGGGAGGTTGCAGGGGAGCGAGGGAGGTTGTATCGCAATTTTTCCCCATACATTTGCCGTTAAAACTTAAAAAAATAGCTTCTCTTAAGACGGAACAAAGTGAGCATTTCTACGGAACAAATTCATTTCTGTGTTGTTCTTTACGAATATGGCTCCAGACACATTGCTATCGCGCGGCTGTCCAGCATACGAGGGGCCTTGCATTTGTACATATACGGGGTCATGCAGTAGTAATTGCTTCTAGTTATAGTTCTTTCCTCCTCCTGGGTGAGTATTGGAGTTTTGTTAGAGGTATACCTCCAACTCCCAAACTTCTTCAGAAATCCCACGCTTCAGTTATTCCAATCTCGCAGCTTGCGCATTTCTCTGTAAGAAGCAAGCGCATAGATCTACAAAATTGACTTCATTTCTCCATAGCTCAACTCCCGCATCAGGTTTTGTTGTTCAATTCATTAATTTTGTATCAATTGTGGATCATTAAAGCTACATGAAGTCCCCCCCTTTAGTTTCTCCGCAATCGTATTTTCCACCCCAAAACACTCGGTGTTACAGTTTCCCGAACTACAAATTTCCAGCGCCATCGGAGACTAGAACACATCTGGTCCTAGCAGAACAGTCGGTTCCCCCAACTCCGCGGTTCCTTAGGAGCAACTTCCACCTTTTGCTTGAGGATGATTTCGCAACTACTTAATGGTGACGATTCTTGGGTCATTCTGTCAACGTTAAAAGAGATACAACTTCCTGTTTAAGTTCCGTGGCTGGGGAGTT